GTGCAGAGATTCCAAGAGGGGGAGAGAAGCGGGTGCGAGGAAGACACGGGAGTCGGAGTTGGGTGCAAATCTTCCTGCTCTGCCTTCAGCAGAGATTTATTTTATACATTTCCAGCAGGCAGGGGGATGGCATTAGCACACGAAAGGGGTTGAGATCACAATCACCTTTTTTCTAAGAATGGTCTGGGGTCGCAGGAAGAGGAAATTTCTTGCTAATCAAGTTTGGAAAAGTTCTTTGAAAAAACTCGCTAAAAGGTTTTAAGTAAGTTTCCTACTTTGAGGAAACTTGCTAAAAGGTTTTAGGTAAGTTTCCTTGAGGTCCACACATAATTTGCTCTGAATAGGAGACTTAGGTGAATTTTCCTTATCTAAAGACTAGGTAGTAGAATCCTGAAAGACTAGCCAGAAAGACTTTTGTGGATTGCTTTGAAGTGTAGCAGGTAAAAAACTTGACTAGCTCTAAAACAGGCAACCTGAATGAATTTCCATATCTAAAGCCAGACAGTAGGAAGTTTGAGTAATTCTGTAGAAGCTGAATAGGAGGTTAGGTGAGATAGTAGAATAAGATTTGGGTTTTCCTCCATCCAGCAGTGAGAGACTTTGCAGAAACAGCCCTTTTGCTTTTATTGATCAGCCAATTGTTAAGTCACTTTTGACTTCAGAGGAATTTCTCACCCTGGTACAGTGCTTGCTTGTCAGGGCAGGCAGGCCTTATGCAGCTGAGGCAATCCAATTGTAGGCTGAAAGTTGCTCAGAATATTTTAATATTACGATTATACCAAAAAAGGAAGGTCATAACACAAGTTAGCATGGAAAGTCTGATCTTTCAGAGCTTTTCCCGAGCTACTCGGAATCTGTCAGACGATAGCCGTCGCATAGCTTGTGTCATTAATGCAATAAAAAATAGTGTTCGAGATCCTCTCTAACCATTTTAACTTCAATCGTTTCTCTTATTTTGCTTGCTTGTTGTTTGGCAAGGAGAAAGGTTTTAGTTCAAAGAAGTTATGTCCTGAAGGAAAAATATAGCTTTTAAATATATAGCCTGTCAAAACACCTTGCTTAAAATAAAGAAAATGTGATATTCACGTATGTATGTGTGTGTCTATACCATGTATGTGGTGGAATACTATTCAACCATAAAAAAGAAGGGAATTCTGCCTTTTGCCCCAACATGGATGAGTCTTGACAGCATTATGCTAAATAAAATAAGTCATGCAGAGAAAACATATACTATGTGATCGTACTTAGATGTGGAGCCTTAAAAAAAAAAATCTCATAGGAAAGGACATCAGGTATGTGGTTACCGGAGGCAGAGGATGGAAGGAAAGGGAACTAGGTGAAGTTACAAACTTCTGGTTATAAGATAAAAAAATGTTGGGATATAAAATACAACTACATTTAAAACTACACTGTGGTATATTTTCCTTTTCTGGATCTCTATGAAATTAAACCATAGGGTGTGGTGGTCATTTCATAATACATCTAAGTCAAGCAACATGTTGTAACATCAAATTTAACACAGGGGCCCTCCCTGGTGGCGCAACAGGTTACATAAAACACAACATTATGAAGCTGTCTGCAGCCACTGCAACATGAGGTCAATCCCTGGCCAGGGAGGTGACCCACATGGCATAGAAGACCCCTCCTCTCTCATCCGCTGCTCCCCTCAGTAGTATATTTCAGTCAATCTGCCTATTCATTCCCGCATTCTTTCTCTGGTGAATCGAATCCTCTCACTCCCACCTCTGGCCTGTACCCCAGTTCTTGTATGCATAAATCAATAAATCTTTTAAAAAATTAACATAGGTTGTATGTCAATTAAAGCTCAGAAATTAAAGAAAAAACACTATTATTGGTAACATATCACCCTACATATCGATTCTATTACTGATATTTTAAAAAGCTAAATTAACAAAATGAAACACATTAGGAGAATATGCTATTTTTAAATCTTCTTTCTGAATGAAAGGCCAATATACATTTTGCCTAGTGCCAGCCAGGAGAGGTGGGCTGGGAAGAGAAAGGAAGACCTGTAGATGGGCTCTCAGCAATGGAAAAGAGCAGATGAAAAGAAGAAAGGAGCCTTCAAGAGGCCCACTGGAAAGTTCTGGGTTCAAAAAAGACTGGCGATCTGAGGACTGACCTGTGGTAACCAAGGACCCGCCAAGTAACCAGGGAGATCGCAGCTCGGGTTGGGGAGTGGCAGTGGAGAGGGGTGAGGGTGGGATGAAAGCAACAACCTCCCCAGGAACTATCTATGGGGAACCACTAACAGTGGAAGGAGTTATTCACAACCCACCCTTGTTGATTTGATTCAAAGACCAGCTCATTGCCACCCGTCTGGATTTGAGATGAGACTGGAAACCTGGATTTAATCCTTTGTTCCTACTTTACACAGACACAGGTGCTTGAGGCTGGAGGGGGGAGCCGCTCCCATTCAGGGTGAACAATGGTTGCCAAGCAGGGTCTCCTGGGAAGGTACTACCTTCAGCTACCTCAGAAGAGCCAGCCAGGGACCCCATCCTGCACATTCAAGTTTTGCTCCTGATTACTTTGCTATACCCTCAAGCCATATTTTCTGTTAGATACAAAGACCCGGATGGATATAGCACTAGAACATGGTAAAGACTGTCAAATGATCAGAAATTTCTAGTCACTTTCAGGTTTCCAACCATACGTATTCAGTACTGAGGAAATGTCTGGCTTTCTTTGCTCCTCCTGACTTCGTTCAAAACCTCATAATCTGCCTAACATAATCCTGGAGACTATTAGGCACAAAAGTAAGTGGGGAACTAGTGGAAACAATCCAATTTATTGGTCACTAACACCCGGGTAGAGACATTGGCTTGAGTTTGAAATTTTGGGAAGGGTGTGATTAATCATTGATTTCCTCTTCTTGGAAACACATGTCTGGTTACCTCTGTTCTCCAAGAGTGGCTAAAAGAAAGAAGCTACTAAAATTTCACCTGGAAAACCAGACAGGAGGTGAAGATGGTAGAGACCCTGACAGAATCAAACTCTTAGACAGCCCAAGAAGGGGGAAAGGGCCTGAGTGGGTTGGAAAAGGTTAAGGAAATAATTTAGCAGTGGTGTCCAGGAGGAGAGATGGGGAGAGGAAGTGGGAGGCCCTAGGCAGGAGGAAATCTTCCTGACATTTGTCTAGAGGACGATTCAGGATACTAGTCCTGCTTCCATTTCTCTGCAGAGCTACGCCAGGCCCACACCATGCAGCAGTGCATGTGGCCATACATGGTAATTGCTGTGTCCTTAATCTTTCTGAGCTTCTTCTTCCAAAAGAATAATGAGTATTTTGATCACGGTGTGTCACTGGTGAGTATAGCAATTGAGTTGTACTATGTGACAATTCCTCAGTAGAAGGGAGTTTTCCAGGTTTGCAAACATTCTAGAATCACCATAGAAGTTCAAAAAGAGAGCACTCCAAAAAATCAGGGATTGTAGAGAAAAGAGACTGAACCAGCTTTGAACCATGTATAAGATTTAAATAAAGACAAGGAGGAAGGGAGACATCTGAAGTGTGGTGAGAACTGACATTTCTTGAGTTGACCAGTGGGACGAGCGGCCACGAGGCCTGTGTAGGGCCTGCCACTTTCCTCATCAGAGCCTGGCATGAGAGATGTCACCCTTCCAGTCCTTACATGAGTGGCTGAGACTCAGTGCCCTGGAGTAACTTCCCAAGCATCCGACATCTACAAGTGGAGAAGACTAAACCCTGCTGAGGTTTTAGAGTAAACATTTTTTTCCTAAATTCCTCAGACAAGCTAGAGCAAAGCAAGTGGGTGCATGTGTGAAGTGGCTCAGTGGGGGTGGTCAGAACTGAGGAAAAGGGAAAACTGTAGAATAGAAGGACCCTGTGTGATTCCCTGAAGGGTAGGACAACTCACTGGTCTTCAGCATCCAGGGTAAGCTGAGGCAGATGACTTTTGTGGCTTGACAATGGTACCGGAATTAGATGGGGACAGGCAAGTTCTTAGTCCACACAAGCCCAGGACTTCCCTACAGAGCCACCACAAAAACTATGCAGTCCCACCACCCCTTCCAGAAGCACCAGGAGGCGGTGGGGTTATGGTTAACTGAGCTCTGACGCTCAGTCTCTCTGGGGACTAGCGAGTAGATCTGCCCCTCAGTTGTCTCCAGAAATCTAGGGCTGAGCCTCGGGCTGATGCATATTCTATTCTCAGGAGGAAGAAAAGAAGAAGATAATATGGCAGCTACATCAAGACCTAGTCACTAATGAAAGCAAGAACCATCTAGAGACCTTCAAGGAGATGCAGGAAAACTCCCCTTTACTCCAACATTCTGACTACAAACTCCTGGCTGGAACTCCTCCCTGGGAAAAGAGTGAGGACGTGGGAGGGAATGGTCAGATGGGGAGAAGGTCAGACAAGGTAGTCATGCTAGAGCAAGGCAAATGGGTGAAGAGGAAGAGTGAGCTGGCAGCTGGAAAGGAAAGAAGGGTGCTTGGAGAGGGGCCATGTTATGGAACTGGGTGAGTGTATTTCCCTCCCACCTGCTCCCCCCCCCCGTGAATGACTTAACAGGATGACGAACCCATGGCCATCCATGAAGGAGCCACCCAATAGTGAAACTCCGTTAGGGCGGGTGACCAGGGATGACAGTACAGCTGAGGAGGAGGGGAGGGAGCCCTGGTAGGGGAAGAAGATCATAGAGGGATGTACACTAGGCTTCCAGAACTTGGGGTTTACTTGGGCCCCTGGAGATCCCCTAATCCATGTTTGGTTGATTCCTAGTAGCTAAAATAACTCAGGTCAAGACCAGGCTGAGATCAATTGCCAAGCCCATCAATTTACCTTGGCACAAGGTTGCCTTCCCCATCAGAGAGCCTTGTCCATAAAGATTGCCCCTACAGCCTTTCAAAGCACTGATCAAATAAACCACATCACAACTTCCGATTGGACACTCTCTGATCTGGACCATGCACTCCCTGGGTAAGGAAATGGGAATTTGTCGCAGGTATTGACATGAAGGGGAAGACCAGGAAGAAGAGCTCTAGGAAGGCCTCACCACCTTGGTGTGCTAAAAACTCCCCAATCTCCCCCCAACCCCCAGAGCTACTGACGGTGGGCATCGCCTCAGTGCGGCATCCTCGAGAAAGCCACCTCCTGGACACGCTGACGTCCGTGTTCGAAGGTTCCACAGACTCCGAGCTGAACTGCTTTGTGGTGCTAGTCCACCTGTCAGATCCTGACTCCAAGTGGCTTGGCCAGGCGGTTGCTAATATCCGAAGCCGTTTCAAAGCGCATCTCGATGCCCAAAGGCTGCTGGTGATCCAAGGTCATCTCGGTTCCTCTTCTCTCCCAGGAGATCTAAAGACCACCAATAATGCTTCACACTGCGAGACACTTTATTCCAGGCAGAAAGTCGGTTACTCCCTGCTCGTGAACTTTGCCGTCAACATCTCAGAATACTTTCTGATGCTCGAAGATAATGTTCGCTGCGTCCCCAAGTTTGTGTCCACCATTTACTGGACATTATTAGCCTGGAAAGATCTACCTTGGGCAATCCTGGAGTTCTCCAGCCTGAGCTTCTCTGGGAAAGTTTTCCACACCCATGACCTCCACCGCCTGGCATCCTTCTTCTTCCTCTCCCATAAGGACCTTCCCACTCACTCACTCCTCTCCGAATTCCATCTTGTCTTGGCCCAAAGTGTCCCAATTCGTTTCAGTCCCTCTATTTTCTACCACATGGACAATCATTCCGTGTTCCAGGGCACGTGCTTTCCCGTGCAGGAGGAAAAGGTCTTCGGTGAACCGGACAACCCGAGTGCCGGCATCGTCACTGACATGATGATGATAGCAAACATCATTCCGGATTACGCATATTTTCTGAACAAAGACTGCTTTTCTACCCTTGATGCTGTAAGGGGCAACCACTTGACCGTGGTTTTTGACAGACCACAGAATGTCATCCGGATAGAGGTGCTGACCGGTTCTGAAGAGCAAGGACAGTTTCAGATGCAACATGGGCAAGTACAACTGGGCTATGATCCGCTCAAGAATTCCAAAGGCTGTGCCCGCTACAGTCTGCTCGGGCCCCTGGTGGAAGGAAATTTGGATCAGAGAGTGTTTTATGAAACAGGTTCTGTGGAGGAGCTGAGGTGTATACGCCTGCTCGTGCTGGTAGCTCAAGAGTCTTGGCTCCTGATCAGGCAGATCAAAGTCTGGACTCAGGATGAGGAAGAAGATAGTTTGATGGAAAAGGAAATTCTGTAAGAGGGGCTTTGAGGATGGGATCTGCATGGTTGGCAAGAAATAAAGCTAGAAATTGAACAAGGCCTGCTCATTCCAAGTCGGGTTGTTACAGGGCGGGGGGGGGGGGCACCCCAGAACCTTCTAAACAGGTTCTGCCATCCGCCACATCAAGACGAAGCGTATAAGACCTTTCATGAACTTTAATACATTTTTAGTGTGCAAAACAGGAAAGACAGCTAATATAGTTTCCAAGTCATATAAAGAGCGACGGCACAGCAGAGAGAGAGGCAGAGTGGAAATGGGGATGCGTTTAGAGCGTCGCCTGTGTGCAATGAAAGGGAAGGCCAGTTGCTCTGTGGAGCCCCTCTTTCGTTGCCTTCTAAAGGTCTCAGCCTCCACCGGGGACATTAGGATCCCAGGACTGCACTGCAGAGGGAGTTGTGCAGAATCGAGTGCAGTAATGAGGTTTCTACCCCCAGAGAACTCTAAGCGCAGACAGAACTCCGGAGCAGTGGATGGCTGCAAAGAAAGACTGCACTGCAGGTGAGAGCAGTTACTGGGACTGCGCAGTGCAGTGTCTACCCCTGACGTGGAACGCTACGGGGCAGTGGACATACCTGGTTTCTGCCAGTGGGGTCAGTGTAAGGTCATGATCGTCAGCTCCAGACTGTGACTCCTAGGTGTGAATGGATAGAGCCCAACTGTTGGGGAAGACTAGACCAGTCCACCTGTGTTTCCACACGGAAGCAGCTCTGCTCTATAGCTGACAGTGATGTTACACAAAGCATCCACTTCACACCTGTGGGGCCAGGCCAAGATACCAACTCTATAAGGCACAAAGGCCAGTAACTTGAGCTCAAAACTCCTGGGTACTGACAAGAGCCAGCCCCTCAGGGTAAGTCTCAGTACTTGAAAGGCCAAGGGAACAACCAAGCTCCTATCACCTCCAAACCCCCTACCCCGCAGCAACCAGACTGTAGCCCCTCTTGGTGCTATGATCATTGAAGGGGGAATTGAGAGAGTCTGAAGGGAGGCAGGCACTCTTGTGGAAGGCACACGCAAAGCGTAAGAAACACACTCCCATCCTGGACCTGTAACCAGAACTAGGACAGAGCCTGTCCACAATAAGAACAAGCAACTCTCAGACTATTCTGCTCCTGCTCACATCCCTGAGAGGAAAGTCTACTGTCAGAGTATCCACATACCAGAGCCGAAATACAGCTGAAAGGTTGATACTAGCCAGGGTTATCTGGGACAATTACATTAAGGAATTGATCTAGAGTAGAGGAGTCATTGCAAATGAAACTTATACACACACACAATGTGGGCTTCCGTGGCACATGAGGAAGCATGAACTCTTGGGGTTCATTAGCTGCAGCCTCCTGGTACCGAGCTGCCCCAGCGCCTACCTCTTATTCCCTGTGAGCACCAGAACCTCAGACATATGAACAGGGACTAAGGCATCAGTCTGTGAAACAGTGGACACCAAGGATCCCAGGTAAACCCAGGATTATGTCCTACAACTCATGTAATACAAGGCCAATTCACCAAGCCAAGAAGAGAAAGCTCTATCTTAATTCATAATCTGAAAGCAAGGAACATTCTAAAAATGATGAAGCAAAAGAAATGAGGAAAGGAATCTAAATCTAGCAGAATCATGTAACTTGCCTGACAAAGAGCTTAAGGTAATGGTTAAACTGTGCTTATCAAAGTTAGAAAAGTAATGAATGAACAAAAGCAGAATACAGGATACGAAAAACATGAGAATGCTTCAAACAGAATTAATGGTCTTGGAAAATTCCACAAATTTCAAAGAATTCTCGTGACTCCTGGGGTAGTGCGAACTAACATGACCCCTTGAGAAAACTGTCAGTGTTTATTACAATCACATGTCTGTGTATTTAGTATGAGGCAGTCCCGCCCCCAGATACATGCAACAGAAATACAAGCACAAAAGCACACGCCCAATTATGTACATGGAGCACTATTTATAGTAGCTACAAATTGCAAGCAATCCAAATGGATATCATCACTAGAAATGGCAAATAAAGTTGGTCGAGTTATGCCGTGGAATACTAGTCAGTCGTGAAAATGAACAAACAACTGCCATCACAAGCAATGCCAAAGAAGCTGACACAAATGAGTGATAGTACAGGAAAACTCCTATAAAAGGTGACAATAATTAGGTGTGTGAGGTCTGGGTAACAATTACTATTGTGGGGGAGAATCAGGGTGTAGGCTAGAGGCACAGGGTGAAAGAAAACACAGAAGGCAGATTTCGTGAAATATACTGCTCAGAAGCAGCAGGTGAGACGGGAGAGCTCTACTGCACAGAGAGAGGGGCCCGAGGTTCTATTTATACTCCAGGCATCATTGGTTAGCGTGACTGGTTTTGGGTGTGTCCTGACTCATCATTGGATCATCACATAAGGGATCATCAGCTTACCAGTCCCGCTCCCATGGCAGCCCCTTCCACTCCCTTTATCCATTCAAACCTCCCAAAGTTGCTTGCTGAGCAAGAAGTGGGGACTTAGTGTTCGGATTTAGTAACAATCCCAGGACAGTTACTTCTGAGAGGCAGTGAATGGGAGTGAGCATAGAAGCAAATTAAATGTTGCTGTTTTGTTTTGTTTTACATTTTATTTCTTAATCTGTGTGGGTGTGGTTTCTTGGTTGAAATTTATTGATACCTGAATATTAAGAGAAAAACATGATTAGATTTAGTCTAAGGAGGTAAGGGAGGGGGTGACCCTGGTGACCCAAGGGTTGCAGTCTCAGCACTATGAAGCTATCAGCAGCCACTGCAGCATGACTTCAATCCCTGGCCAGACCCACATGGTGTAGGAGACCTCTCCTATCTTGTCCACTGCTCCCTGGAAGCAACTCTTGGAGGGAGCTTTGCTGCAAAGGTAGGGGGGAAATAAAGAATGAGTAAATTGGCAGAGGAAACAAAGACAAGGAAGTTTTTCCTTTCTTTTTTAAGAATGCCAGGGGAGAATTACTAGAGATCTATCTTTGATTGGATGTTAGAAGGTGTGACTGGTGCCCGAGTAGAAAGAATGATTTTAGATTAGGATTAGTCAATGGTAGCAGGGGGGGAGGCAGAGCATGTGGGTGTGAAGTCTTGGGGGGGCGGGTAGAAGCAGTACAAGGGGTCTTGAGAAATTCTCTTCTTATTGCTTCAAAATTTTTCAGTGGAAAAAAAGAAACTCATCAGCTGAGGCTGAGGATGGAGGAAGAGGTGTTAGAGGTTAAGATGACAGAGAAGATGGTGAATATTGTGAGAGGAAAAAAGAGGGCGGCTTTGGGAAACCCTACCCCAGCATTGTGGCTCCACTCAGGTTCACGATCCTGAAATCAAGTGACACCAATCTACGTGGCTGGTGTGACTCTCAGTCACGGTCACACGATAGTCGCAGGCTCAGGGTGGACGAAGAAAATTGACCATTGTATTTTTGTTTTGAAGATTTATTTATTCATGCATACAGAACTGGGGTACAGGCTAGAGGTGCAGGGGATGAGAGGATTCACCAGAGACAGAGTGGGGAGCAGAACAGGCAGATCTACTGAAATATACTGCTAAGGGGAGCAGCGGGCGGGTCAGGAGAGGTCTGCCGCAAATGGCAGAACCCATGTCGACCAGGCAGGTTTCTGGGTTTGCTCCTGGGTGCCCCTCCTTCTGCCCACTAAAAAAGACTAGCAAAGATGAAAAAGAGTAGACAGGACCCTCCCTGGTGGAGTAACAGGTTAAAGTGCAGCACTACAAGCGGACAGCCTTCAGTGTTAGTTCCATCCCCACCCCCAGGGGTGACCCACATGGCGCAGCAGGCCTTTCCCGTCTCACCTGCTGCTCCCCTCAGCAGCGTACTTGGTCGATCTGCCTGTTCTGCTCCCCACTCTGTCTCTGGTGAATCCTTTCACCGCCCCTGCATCTCTGGCATGTACCCCAGTTCTGTATGCATGAGTAAATAAATCTTTAAAAAGGAAAAAGAGTAGACAGAGAAGTGTGATGTGAAGAAAGGTTGAGGGGATAATCAGTGGGATCCAGTGTTGCCCTTAGGCCAAGTAAGCCCGGCCTGGTCACGTCACTGGCTTTGGCAATGAGAACATTGCGTGAAATGGCAGCACTGTGAGTATAAGAAAACCAGCCCCACTACCCCTCACCTAATTCTGTTTCTCCAGACACAGCTACTTTCAGGTCTTTTAACTATTTCTTCTGGTGTCTTTTGCTTCCATATTTCTAAATAAGGCATTTAAACTACCATGTACTTAAATACGTTTTAAAATGTATTTGAATTCCTTGCTGTGACAGTTACGGTGTTAGCCCTTTTATGTTCCACGCTTTTGATATAGGCATTGGTGATTATGTTGTGGTGGTAGTGTTGTTTTAAACATTTATTTGTTTATGCGTACAAGAACTGGGGTACAGGCCAGAGATGCAGGATGGGGGTGGGGGCAGTGAGAAACTTCACCAGAGACAGAGTGGGGAATAGAACAAGTGGATCTACTAAAACACATTACTGAAGGCGAGCAGCGGGTGAGACAGGAGAGGTCTGCCACGCCGTGTGGGTCAGCTCCCTGGTGGGGGATTGAACTCCTGCTGCAGTGGCTGCGGACAGCTGCAAACTGCTGCTCTTTAGCCCCTTGCACCGCCAGGGAGAGCCTGTTGTGGTGTTTTGGACTCTCTTTTCAAGGAAATGTGTACAATAAACAGCCTTTGAAGCTAGAGCTAGTGTTTTTCTCCTGAGCACAAGATTTGTTTATAAAAGGAAGATTTGTTTATAAAGACAGTGACTCTCTGGAGAGACTTAGAGACATAGTTCTCCAGAGACCCTGCAGAATAATTAGGTCTCTTTTCTCTCCCCAGAGAAGATCTGTTTCCAAACCAGGATAATTAAAGATTTGTCTTCCTGTGGGGCAAAGTTTGGGCAGCCTGTTAGCTGTCTCCATACAGGATCGGGGATTTCCTAAGTTTAGTGTTTCTCGAGTGTGATACTAAGAGCCACCTGTGATAAGGTCAG